CTGGTTTAGACGTTTAGATTTTTCATTAGTCAGATGAAGCTAAGTTATACTGTGGTAATAAATGAATTCCTGAATCTCCTTGGCTTACCAAATGTTTGTTTCTCATTTCTGCTACCTGTCTAACTTAGGATAGTGGGGGCAGAGACTCAGGCTGACAAATGCCCATATACCCCAACCTCTGCATTCTTGGTCCCCAAAATAGAGTAGGAAAGAACTGAAGGCTGCACCCTACTTTTTTTTTTTTTTTAATCCTCACCCGAGGATATGGAGAGAGAGAGAGAGAGAGAGAGAGAGAGAGAGAGAGAGAGAGAGAGAGAGAGAGAAAGAAAGAGAAAGAAAGAAAGAAAGAAAGAAAGAAAGAAAGAAAGAAAGAAAGAAAGAAAGAAAGAAAGACTGATCACCTGCCCTCCCATAGTCGCCCCAACTGGGGATTGAAGCTGCACCCTAAGCATGTGCCCTAACCGGGAAATGAACCAGCGACCCTTTGGTGCACAGGACAATGCTCAACCAACTGAGCCACTCCGGCCGGGCTGCACCCTTCCTCCTAAAGACATTGGTCGCTTGTGCCACAGCCCTTTGGTTAGATAGAGTTAAATGGCCTCAGCTAGCTGCAAGGGGGCTGCGACTCCACGAAAGGGAGAAACGAAAGGGGCTGGCTTGGTGCTCACATGGCATCGTGTGCCATGTGTTAATTACTCTGGTTTAAGTGGAGCATACCGGTGATGTGCGATAACCTTCTCCAAGGCGGAGAGAAATCCATTTCTGTCCACTTGCCAGCAGGGGTTGGCACCAAAAAGGTGCGCTGTCAGGACCTGTGGACTGAATAAATCAGACGAACGATCGCCTAGCTTTGGGAGGCACACGCTCTGAGTCACGTTTAATTCCCTTACTCCCAGGCAGAACCCTTTCAAAGACCCTAATTAGATTCTTAGAAGAAATAATACCCATCAGGCAAACAAATGACAGGAGGTTGCCTGTGGAGCAAAACTCGGGCTGGGAAAATGCAATAGGAGGGTCCATTCCCCGGGGGACTAGACAGATATGAGGGGGAAAGGTCATCCACTCACAGCGGGCACAATGCCCACAGACAGTGCCCTTCAAGGACCAGCGCCCTGCTCGCTGTTCGTCTGACAGGGAAGAGAGGACATGCTTATGGAACTGCAAGGACACTCTGTTTCTGATCAATTAAGCCTCAGAGATAAATTAAGTTCTGATCAATGAAGCTCCACATTGTTGGCAAGGGCTGTGTTATGCGAAATACGGGGAATTCCAGAACCATCTCTATGCTGCACTTTGGCAAAGCACCAGCCGTTCACCTTGGTGCTCTGGCCCGTTCATCATCCCCTTGTGTGGATGCACACGGGTTGTCACAGTATCACAGGGTGTCACCTGGGACCTCAGAATCATTTGAGAACAGCCAGCTCAATTTGCAGACGAGGACAATGGAGACCAGACAGGTTACACCCAGCACAGTTTAATGTCTGTCGATAAGCAGGCTGTGCACGCGGAACTGAGAGGGTACCGTTAACACAGGCTCCGTGTGAGTGACGCCTCCGGGGATAGTCCTGTTTCTTCCTCGGTGAACACAGAATGACCTCTTGTTGATTTGAATGAAGAATGTGTGTACATTTCAAGTATCATTCAACTGAGATGATTTGAAGAAGGTTAGCATAGTTTTGTAAATTGTAATTCTCAGAATCCTGACGAGTCCCATATTTTTATTTCCTTTTTAAAAAGTCAGGATTTTATTGCAGCTACAAGTAAGAGCTCCGACTCTGGAATCAGACAGAAATGTGATCTGACTCCTAATTAGCTACGACCTTAGGCAAATCACTTTAGCTCTCTAACATCAGGCTCTTCGTTTGTAATATGAACATAGTATTATGCCTGGGTGGGACAATGTTACCTACAAATTACCCATTTTCCCCACTCCAACCTGGCTTCTTTACCTACTCTGGATTTGTTGTAGGCAGGAATGGGCTTGCCTTAGACTATGGATCATGATTGGGTACAGGGCAATCAATCTTGCAATCCCATTCCCTGCTTTCTGAGACTCCTTTGCAGCTAGGGATAGCCATGTGATCTGTTCTGACCAATGGGAGTATTGCTTTCACTTTCAGGAGATTCAATTACACTTGGGTTCCATTTCATTCTTTAAAGAATTAGATAGGTCTTGAAGGTGGAGTCCAGTTGGTAAGAGAATCCATCTGTGCCAGTGGCTCTCTTATATGACCTGGGGCTAGACACTTGCCTTTGGGATCTTGGTTTTCTCATGTAAAGTGAGGAGGGTTGGATAGTGCCTGGCAGATTATTTATTTATTCGTATGTAGTATAGGCAGAGAGTACTCTTCAGACCTCAAGCCTGGCCACTCACTGCCCAACACCCTTTTAGCTTCTCTCCAAGGGGAAGGTACTAATGGGCTCCCTCAGAGTCTGGGACACTCCTAGGGCCATGTGTCTTAGTGTGAGGGGGCCACTGTGTGGCAATGGCTGTAGCTCTGCTCTGCCTCCTCCCCCACTTCTCAAGGCAGGGTAGGACCATGGTCTAACACCTGCATGAAATTTTGTACATTCCTTTAAACATTGGCTACAGGATTGGGTTATATATTAAAGTTGATAAGACTCTAAGACTAAGTTCATGGTTGGGTTGGGGGATTAGGAAAACTGCTTGAGTCTGGAGTTTAAACCAAGTGCTCTAATTTAATATTTTTCTAGAGAGTTCTGCATTTGGTGATTATTAGGCCCAGGGTCAACTTTTAATAAGCGTCCAACCTACTATTCCTTTAATATGGTTCCCTGAGGAGTGGGGTGAATGGGAGGGAAAGTATAAGGAGATTGACAGGGGCAAGATACAGGCATCCCTGGATCCTAGTTTCAATAGCATCAACAATATTAGCAAAATCTCAATGCAAACTAATTCCTATTAAACTTTTAACAAATATTTCACAAACAGCCATTTTATGCTATGCCAGCCATCTCTGATGTTCTAAGATGCTAAAATTTTCTACCCCATTGATCAGGATCGACATTGAACCCCAAATTCCCATCTTCCCAGTGGTTTGTGATTTCTACTCCTGAGACTGAATACCAGTGGTGACTCCAATGAACAGTGTTTTAGGAGGGCTGGGAAATCCCCATATGTCAGCACAGCCTCCTCTCCAGTGCTCAAAGCCATCTCCAGCCCTTCCTTTCTCTGCAGAATAGTTTGCACTTTCAGACCTCCCATTTGGTTTATTTAGGAAAATTTGTGTCTTGAGCTTCAGATCTTAACTCTGAACCCACTAATATCTAGAACAATGGGTAGTTACATCCATTTGACATTGGTCCTCACTGAAACCACTTAGGTTGGTGTATCTTTGATTACCCTCCCCATGATAATCTTCAAGTTGATTAATTTTAATGGAATTTGAGCCTGCAAAAGGCATTAAAATGCACTTTAAGATAAGAATGCTTTCATTCACTCTATGTCCAGCATCCAAGACTCTGTGGGGTCGGAAATGGGATGATCAAACTTTATTTGGTGTAGCAGAAAGGGCAGGAACTGTGCTCACTGTTACACCTGGATTCAGATCCCAGCTCTGCCACTTATGAGCTGTCTGATCTGGGACAATATCTCTTGGCCTCAATTTTTTCTTGAAAAGTGGGTATTGTATTAAAGGGCAGTGTTTGGGCACAGAGTACGTACTCATAAAATGAAAATGTTATTATTAAACACTATCAAGTGGCAGCAGCCATGGTGATTGGGGCTCCATTCAGAAAGCCACTCATCATCTTCAACAAAAACTGCTGGACAAAGATTAAGGTATACATTACAAGACATACTTTAAGAATAACACTCTTAAATTGTATATCTCCTTTTCCTCACAGAGCCTCTAGACTCAGAGATATTCGGATTTCAGCTTGCAGGAGGAGGTGCTTTTTAAAGTTTCTAATAATGGATAAGAGTGGGGCTGGGGTGAAGGGAGAAGGGTGCAGGAGTGACTCAGGGAAGGAGATGAAGTACTGGAGTCCTCTAGGTGGGATAAGGAAGAATAATTTATATCATGAAGACAATGCCCATTTAATAGCCATGACACAGAAACCTCTTTTCAGAAAGATCTCATGCTTGGTTCGATGTGCTGTCATTATCATCTTGAAATTATTAATAATTTTAATTAAGGGCCCTGAATTTTCATTTTGCACTGAGCTCTGAAAATGTGTTTATGAGGCCAGTCCTGCATAAGGATAAGGGTGAGGAATGGAAGGGGCTAGAGGTATCCCAGAATCAGCACTTTTTGATCCTCTTGAGAGGAAGGAGGACTTGGATATGTATGGGAGTCTAAGAATGGGGAATCTTGTTGCCCCTGACTGAGGTGGATCTGATATGACCAGGAAGGCTGTTGGGGAGTACATGAGATTTGGTTGGAAAGTTTGTGAGGAGAACATTCTGAGAAAAGGGAAGTGTGTGGAAAGCTGCCTGCCCTGTTTATTGGAATTACAACTTAGGGGAGTGTTGAAGGTGGCACCTCTAATTATGCCTTGACTTTTCCAAACAGTCCTGTGCATATGCAGACCCGCAGGTGCCTATTGGAATCTTTATGCCTCATCTTTGGGTGCTCTTGCCTAGAGAACAATGCAAACACATGTTCCCCCAAGATTACTCATCCCACTGATTGTATCTAAAGATAATAACTTCAATGAAAGCCTAAGGAGGCAGGCAATGGGGGCTGTCTGGTTGCTATAGCCAGGCAGTCCCTTAGCTTCTGTTTCACAGAAAACGTTCTTTCAGAGTAATCCATTCATCTGTGGCTCAGGGTCTGCTAGTCAACCCTGGAAGAAGGCATTTCCCTATGAGCAACTGTTAGACTGGCACCTATGGCAGATTTATGCCATCAGAAGTCTGCACTGGCTGCCCTCACTCATAGGACATTTTGCTCTATTATGATTTTTTCCTGCACATTGGAATAATATAATAACTATATACTGCTTCTGCCTTCTCAGCATCCTTATTTCCTTTGCAGGAACTCTCCTTCTCTTTTCCATGTGTTTCCAGGGGAATTGTTATTCATGGTGTGCCGTCCTCAGCCCATGGACAGGTGACCCATGCTGGGCCAATCACAGGGCTACATCCCCCCTCAGGTCTGTGAGGGAAGCAGGGTGGCAGTTTAGGGGCTAGCAAAGTTGAAATCATCTCCATCCTCTGATTGCATTGATATGGAAATTGTAGGTCACTGAAAGACAGACTAATCAGAGTAGTTCATTCTTCCTTAATTCTCCGTGATCACAATGCAACTGTTCCTGTTGCTGCCTGAATGTGGGAATCATCAATTGCTCTGATGGGCACAGATCCCTGCAGCTGTGCAGCTCACTCAGGGAGGGGGTCAGACAACACAGAGCCTGAAAACATAACCAAGAAACCACTGCAAAAGTCCAGGATAGCATCACCCCTTTTACTGCTATAGGAAAGAAATAGGCCTATTTGTTTTGTTTATATAGTTAGTTAGTTCATTGATATTATTTGGGAACCAATAGGTGCTTTTCTTTGGACTTCCATGGAAACAGCTATCTAAAAAGTAAGGAAGCATAATTCTTAGAGAATTTAAGAGAAGATCCTTAAGACATGGAACCATGCAAGGGCTTTTAATTTAATTTTATTTTATTTAAAAAATCAGCTTTGTAGACATATAACTTGCATACCTTAAAAGCCACTCATTTTAGGTGTACTATTTAATGATTTACCATCACAATTTTAGAACATTTTCATCTCCCTCCCTCAAATTTCTTGTGCCTATCTGCATACATGCCCCATCCCCACTCCCAGCCCCTGGCAACGACTAATCTACTTTTTCTCTCTATAGATTTGCCTTTTTTGGATATATCTTATAAGCAGAATAATATAATACGTGTTTGGTTTTTGTCTGGCTTCTTTCATTTAGTAAAATGTGTTTGAGGTTCATCTATGTTGTGGTTATATGAGTAGTTGATAGTTCCTTTCTTTTTATTGCTGTAAATTACCCCATTGTATGCCAACACCACATTTTGTTTTATCCATTCATCCATGTGAGCATTTGGGTTGTTTCCACTTTGGGGCAATTATGAAAAATGCAACTCTGAATGTTCCCATACAAATCCTCACATAGAGCGATGGCTCTTTAGACAATGCTGGATTCTTCTTTCTCATCACAGTGAGGCAAGCTCTTTCTTAGGAGAACTTTTGTGAACCTTGCTTGAGAATAATGGATGAGTAACACTCATCTGCTACTCTTGAGAAGCCACAATTGTTATAGAGAGTGTCAGAAGGTCTTAGTCCCCAAATAAGGGATTTTCCCATATTTCCCTTAGCAAGGCAGGACTAACACCCAAAATGAGCCAATGAGTCCTTTGATTGATCCGTATATGGATATATGGAAAGATCTCTTTTCTCATCGGGGTTGCTGTGCTGAGAAAATGTAAATTTGGTGTTCACTAGTGCCACTTGTTCTCTATGTGGAAGGAGACTGTCAGCAGAATTTATTCAATAATATAATACTTCTAGGTGCGAGGCACTGTCTATGTATAATAATAATAGCTGTGCAAGAATTGGGCAAAAATACCTAGAGCTTATCTCTGGTTGGGGAGACCAGGAAAAATATAAGATGTGTTTGTTACATGGTGATACATATATTATGGAGAAAAATGGAGCAGGGGAGGGAAGCAGGGAGTTCCTGGGACATTGTAGAGGCTGCTATTTTGAAGAGGGGAGAGCTGGGGAAGATCAGATTGAGAAGGTGATGTTTCGGCAAACCCTAAGGAAGCTACCTAACAAATTACCACAGATTTAGCTGCTTAAAACAACACACATTTATTGTCTCACAGCTTATGAGGGTTAGGAGTCTGGGTGTGGCTTAGCTGGATACTCTGTCTCCCACAGTCAGCTTTAATTCGGTCAGCTTGGGTTGGGGTCCTACCCAAAGGCTCAACTGGGATAGGATCTGCTTCCAAGCTATCCTATCTAATAAAGATGGAATATGCAAATTGACTGTAACCCCATGACAAAGATGGCAGCGCCCACAGCCAATAAGGAGGGAATATGCAAATTGACATGATAAGGCGAGAGGCGGAAAGGTGGCTCCAGCCGGAGTGAAGGAAGTGCCGGCAGCCAGGGGAAGGAAGGCCTATCCTTGCACAAATCTTCGTGCATCGGGCCTCTAGTACGTTATAAGAGTCTCAGTTCCTCAAGGGCTTTTGGCCTGAGGGTCTCAATTCCCAGCTAAGCATTCTCATTTCCTTGCTGCATGTGTCTCTCCACAGTAACTTGTATCATCAAAGCCAGCAAGGGAAAGAGTTTGCCACCAATAAAGAAAACCACAAAAGTGACATTCCAACAACAGCTGTGATAGGTCTTGCCTAGACTCAGTGGGAGGAGATTTTTCAGGGGTGTCAGTACCAGGAAGCAGGGTCATTATGGGCCTTCTTAGAAGCCGCCTGTTAGTGAGTCATGGGGGACCTCGGGAAGGGAGGTGTAAGAGGCAGAAGGAACAAGTGCAGAGACCCTGGGGTTGGTAGGGAGGGTGGAGAACTTGTCTGAGTGTTCAAGGAATAGAGAGGAGGCAAGTGTGGCTGGTGTGCACTGAGCAAGGGGTAAGGGAGTGGAGACAGGGACAGAGGGATAGATAACGGGGCCCAGGTTATGTGGGACCCTTTTGACTTTTACTTTATTGAGATGGGAATCACTGGAGGGCTTTGAGCAGAGGAGTGACATGAGCTGACATTATTCTAGATCCTTGATACTCAAACTGGTCTGTGGACCCGCAGCATTGCCATCACTTAAAGCTGGTTAGAAATGCAGCATCTCAGGCCCCACCCAGACCTACAGAATCCAAATCTGCATTTAATGAGATTCCCCAGGTAAGTGACTGCACAGGCAGGTCGGAACCTTAGTGGCATCGGAATCATCTGGAGGGGTTGTTGAAACACAGCCTTCCCAAGGCTGGTAAAAGGTAAGGCAGATTAGAAAAATGCATGTGAAGCACTAGTGCATCACAGTTCCGAACCCCGGGTTTCTGAGTCAGCAGGTGCATTTCTAGCAAGGTCCCAGATGAGCCTGATGCTGCTGGTCCAGGGACCATACTTTGAGAACCACTGGTCTACAGTGTGCCTGGTGCCGGGGCTGAGGCCTGAGAAAGACAAAACCCTGTCTTCAAGGTCCTCACCGTATCGGGCCTTTCTTCCAGCCTCTGAGGAAGAACAACCTGTCAGAGCCAAAGCTCTTCCCTTGTCATAAATCCTAGGAAGGCAGGTTTCGTATGCTGCCCCTGGAATCCCATCAGTGCCCTCACGCTCAGGCCCACGCTGGTGTTGCTCTCTTTCTGCAGTCAGTCCCAACTCTGTGTCTCCCAGCCGCGCAGAGAGCGGGAACAGGTGGTCACCAGCTCCCTGCTGTTCACTCTTCATATGTGTGCAGCCCGTTATTAAATCGCCCTCAAATTTTCCTTCTCGAAGACTAAATAATTAGCTACCCTTTTCTGAATCATGGGGTGGAGAGGGATTGGCTGACTGTAGCTACCAGCCTCTGATAGGATCATATGTGGTGGAAATTCGTGAACCAGTGTGGGGGCTGGGGGTAAGATGAGGTGGAGGCTTCCAAGGTTAGACCACTAGACTCCTTCATCTAAGCAAGATCCTTAGAAGAGATGCTGGCAGACAGCATGCAAAACCAGGAGATGTCCGGTGGGACGCAGGAATCAGCTGGAGGTCAGCCGTCACGGGTGAGTCAGACATCTTCAGGGACTACGGGCACCATCAGGCTTACCCCCGCTTCAGGGTGGTCTCCCACCCTGACCCATTCTAATTGATGGGGCAGCCCGGCTGGTGGTGATCAGCCTCCTAGGAGGAAGTGTCTGAACATCACAAAGATGATGTCCATCCTGGCATGCCCAAGGTCAAGGTCAAACTTTGGACTACCTGTGTCAGCATCTTCTGGGAGGCTTGTTGGGAAGCAGATCTTCAGACCCTACTCCTAAACCTACTGCATCAGAGTCTTCTGGTGAGGAGTCTGACGATAGGGAGTTTAACAAGGCAGGCCCCGCCCCACTCCCCCTACTCCTACTTAGACGCACAATCAAGTTTGAGAAGGGCTGTCCTAGTGTGATATGGCTCTTTCAATTCTCAATCTTGGCCACCAACAAAAAAGGAAAACTGTTCAGAGTAAATAAAGTGCCGAGTACAGCTACTAGTAAAATATGGACTTGTCTGTGTGGTGTGTTTATATTTTGAAAATAAAAATTAGTAATAGCGAGCATTTCTTGAGTGCCTCCTTGGTGGCAGGCCCTGTGCTAAGGGAAGAATGCAGACTGGCCTCTGGAATCCTCACCTCCATGGAATTTGTAGATGTTAATATCCCACTCACTTGAGGAGGGACTGAGTCGCACAGAGGCATGCCCAAAGTCATACAGTTGGTAAGTGGCAGGCAACATGACTTAGACCCACGCCTGGCTGACACTGGCCAAGATTTTAATCTCCACATTATCCCTTCTCCTCCCTCACACACATTTCCTTTCCAATTATGAGACAGGATAAGAGGCACCGTGGCCACAGATCAAATATATGCTGGGGAAAGAGAGGGACGGCCACTAATTCTGAACTAGGCACTACTGCTTCACATGCATTTTCCAACTTGCCTTATCTAACGTCAGCCTTGGGAAGGGATATTATACCCATTCTGCAGGTGAGGAAAACTGAGGTTACCAGGGATTAAGTGGCTTGCCTGAGGCCACACAGCTGTTCTGGAGGTGAAGCTGGCATAGAAGCCAGATCTCTTCCTCCAGAATCACACAGCCCCTGGAAAGGATGGAGATGGAAGGGTCAGTCCGGAGGGTTATACTTAGCAGGTAGCCGCCCTTCCTACTTAAACCAGCGGTTTGGTTAGCCTGGAGACTTCTTACTTCCTGACTGTTCCGACACACTGCCCAGGTTTGCAGCTAAAACAGGCTCTAAATGGCATGTTTGGGAAGCTGTATACTTAAAATGGACCTGCATGGCAGAAATAGTCACTTAACCAAACGTGTGCTGCCCAGATGGATGTCAGTGACTGCTTTCGCCAGTCTGGCGCTTTTTAACTATAATGGGTATCCTGGGATTTGTGGTTTGCTTTGCCACCTTAAGAGGCCTGCAGAGAAAACCATTATTATGTGCCTGCGTCTGCTTATCCCGAGCGGGGCTTGGAGGGGAGAAGGTGAGAGGCGAGGTTTCGCATAGCCGCTTAGCCGCTGAGGACTGATGAGCCCAGGAGTGCCACCAGGATGTAACTGCATCCTTGTCTCCTGGTCATCAGCGCTGTCATTCTGCGTTAGGGGGGGCTGAACTCCAGAGCTCTCTAATCTGCCCATCAGCATGGATGTGTCATTTTTGTCTGCCAGAATCTCTCTCTCTCTCTTTTTTTTTTTTTTAGAGAACCTGCACCTCCCCCTCTCTATGTGGTCCTTGTGGGATCATGGCTCATGACGCCCACATATCTGTGGTCACCTGGTCCAGGCAGACCCAAGCAGAGTGCCCAGTCCTCAGAGCTTGGTCCCAGGACAAATGAGAGTTGTTCCTTAAGATTTCATAAAAGGTCTCTTTTATTTTTGGAGCATAACGTGTTCAAATATAAGCTGAAGGCCATTGGTGGCCATTTTTCTAATGTTCACAGAGAAGCTGTGAGAAGGTGAGACACAGAGAGAGAGCGAGCTTGAGTCCTCATGACGTCAGCAGCACCCCTAATTGGCTGTGCCTATAGGATTTGCCCTGGAACTCCCAGGTAATGAGTCCCACACGTTCTTCTTTGCTTGAGCTGGATTGAACTGGGTTTTTGCAGGAACCCTGCATAATATATACCTGAGATTCACAGTATCCAAACACAAAACCCCGACTCCTCTCCCAGCAAACTGCTTTCTTCTAGCTTCCCCTGCCTTCCACAGCCTCGTTACTGCTCATTCAGTTACAGCCACTATTCACTGCCGTGGCCTTAGTTCAGATGCACATCACTTCTTACCTGGGTTGTGGCAATGGCCTCCTGCCTCCAAGTATGTCTACTCCTAGCCCACAAACAAACTCCCTGCCCCAGCCAAGATCTTTCTTTCTGAGCCTGATCCTTCCTGCTGTTGTGTGGGGTCATTCATGAGGCTGTTGGACTTCGGGCCCCTCCCACCTGTAAACCTCACCTGGCACCAGCCTCTCCTGGCTCCAGCAGAACTGCTTGTAGTTCCCTCACTCACTTCTAAGCTAACATACATGCTACTTTCAGTGGTTCTCAGTCCTTTCTGTGCCAAGGACCCCTTGCCAGTCCGTTGAAGCCTATAGAGCCTCTCAAAATAATGTTTTTAAAATCATAGACTAGGATACACAAGGTTATAATGAAATTATAATTATATTAGTATCTAGTTATCAAAATATTCAAATTAATTTATATGGTAATGTAGGTGCTTCATCATTAATGCATTGAATAGAAAAGCTAGTGGTGGCCTAATAACTGTTTTACTTTTCAAGCAGTAAAGAGTATAAAAGAAATTTCAATGTATTTGCAACAACTATAATGTGATATGAATAAATATGACTTCTATTGGTGACACAGTCCCATATTGCTGCCTACATTCACAATGAAAGGAAATACTGAATTTCAGGTAGAGGTTAGGGACAAATGGAGATGTAACTTCCATGGACTCTCCAGAATTCTATCCATGGACACCACTGCTGGGGTTTTTGTCCCAACATTACAAAGGGTTCAGCAATCTGGAGGAAGGTTGTGCATAAATGATTAAGTAGGAATCCAAAGATGAAAGATAGTTTGAAAGGCATTGGGGGACACAGGAGCTTCAGCTAAAGGAGCTAAAGACTACCCCTTGACTCAGGACCCAGTGCTTTTTATTAACACAATTTGTCCTAAGTCAAGATGGAGACATACAATTCAAAATGTAGATTTCAAAGGGTAGGGTTTATAGAAGCATTGTCAGATTGGGGAATAGCCTACAGCTGTCCAGGTGTTTGGCCAACAGGAGGCAATAACATGTAGATGAAGATGCCCTGAGCTGTCTGGCAGCAAATGATTATTCTATTCAGGTTTGCAGGAGATGTTTTTAGCCATTCCAACAGATGATTACATAGGTGGCTCAGCCCTTGTTGAGCATCCAAGCTTCATCAACCTTTTGATGAAATTCTTGTAATTATGACATGCTTGGAATTGGTTCCTGGCACACCACCACCCTCCCTAGACAAGCAACACTGGGCTCTACAGGTGGCAAGTAATCGCCCCATTTTTTGTTCTTTGGGACTCAGCTTAATGTCAACCCCTCCAGAAAGCCTTCTCGACCTTAAATACACTAGGTTGGATTCCCTCCTATGCATTCCTAAACAAGCCCTCTTTATCATACCACAGGCCCCATGCAATTCCACACATTTGTCAGTCCCCTGGTCTGGGGGCTTCTCCTCCGAGGCCTGTGAAAGTGCCAGCTGCCTTGTCCAGACAGGTACAGCCTTGGTCTGAGTCCAGGTTACAACTCAAAGCCAGACTGCGGGTCCCTGAGAGGGGCAGGGAGAGGATCGACGAGCTGGAGGTGCTGAAATCGTCTTGGAATGACAGCTGACACTTTTGATGAATGGCTTAGGGCTGACATCACATTCATTCTTACATCTGAGGCAGATGGTGCAGCTGTGAAGAGCTGGTCCTTTAGAGCTAAACCTATCTGCACTTTCACCCTGTCCCTGTCTCTTTTCCCTGGGGACTCACTTCCTCTCAGAGCTTCCTCGCCTGTAAAATGGATTAGACAGTAATTGTGCCCACCTTGTAGGCTATGGTGAGGCTTTAACAAGAATGCACATGTAGTGCACAGTCCTAATAATGACCTGAGTTAGACGCACCCATATAAGCTACTATTGCCATCCATTTGCTCTTTCAGCAAACATTTATTAAACCTCTATTGCATGCCAGGTGCTTTACAGACATGAAAGCATTTGATACCCTCAGAAATAGGTTCTCTTATCCCCATTTTAAATAACCTCCCCATAGGTAGAGGGGAGCTTGGTATTCTCAGACACTTATAAGTCATTAGGGAGTAAGATCCCAAACTAACCCTAAAGGTATCATCCCACTCCTTCCCTCAAAGATTCTGCGCTGTGAGGCAGCCAAGTGCAATAGTTAGGGGAAGGTTCCAGCTTAGGGTATCTTTGAACCCTAACTCTTGGATGGTGCTTAACGGCACCATCCAAGCTCATCTGAGGAGTGGGATAGTATTAATACCCAACTCATGGTTATCAGAGAATGAAAGATGGAATTTTTGTAAAAGGTTTAAAACATTCTTTCAGACACGCAGTCTCCACAACGTTAGCTCTCTTCATGGGAACACCTGGCAGATTCCTCCACCTCTGGCCAGTCCCCTTGAGGAGCACCCACCCCAGCAGGCACCCGTCCTGTGTGAGGCCCACTTCCCACAATCAAATCCCCGCTTCCCATCGGTGCTGAAGAACCACTGTGGATAAATGCCACACGCTGGGGAGGTGTTTGAACCTTGTGGGCTCAAACGCCAGCGGGGCCAGCTGTCACACCTGGGTAGAGTGGCTTTCCCTCTCTGCACCTCAGTTTCCTCATCTGTAAATTGGGGATAATTGCCGCCCCTCCCTCATAACATTGAGAATAATCAAGTCAACAGCAACAACAAAAACACTGAACGAGTGTCTACTAGTACTCTGGTTAGGGACTGTGCCAGCTGAATAGGAGTGAGCAAGTAGGATGAAATGAAATAATGCTTGTGAAGTGTTGAGCACAGTGCCCGCTGAATTATACACGTTCAAAACGTGTTCCATGCCAGGTGCTCCAAATGATGTAGTATATCACACTCAAAATGTGTACGCATGCTAGATTTTAACACAAAATATATAAACACGTGTAGCACATCTTTCATTACTTCCACATTCATTTTCTTATTCATTCCCACAAAGCAGCCCTGAAAGATAGGCAGGGTAGAGATTTTATCGATATGCCATTTTTTACCATGAAAAAACAGAGGCGCTGGGAGGTGAAAAGGCTGATGAACTGGTGGTGACTGGCAACTGGAGAGAGAAGGCTGGCCCTTTAGAAAGAGAGCCGGCGAGGGGCCATGTTCCACCTCACATCCCTCCGTGGAGAGCCAGGCCCCAGCTCTGCGGCCTTGGGGTGGGAGGACCAGCTTGGAGGAGGATTCCAGGCCCAGGGCGCCCCGACCACATGGGGGAGCTGCGGGTGGACACGCCCTGGGGCGCAGGACCAGCGGCGCGGAGCTTCCCGCGGGCAGAGGCGCTCACCACTCCGGGCCCGACGCTGGGTGGCGCTGCCGGCCGCCCCGCGCCAGACCTGTTGCGCGGAGGGCGCTTCTCCGCCAGGTTAGGGTGAAGGGGTGCTCCCCTCTCTCCCCGAGCCCCCCCCCCCCCCCGCGTCCTCAGCCGCATCTCCCTTGGGGGGCCAACGCCCCATCTTAACGTGAGACTCTGCTTCATCTGCCTCTGTACCCCTCACTGCAACAGTGCTAGGCGCGGCGGGAGCGGTGGGAATAAAGTTTGTCCAAGCTGGTGTGAGAGAGGGCTGGGCTGGGGAGGACCCTCCCAGCCACAGGCTCCGTGGCTGGACCGTGCCCTCTGCCACCGCGGCGGCTCCGCTCTGGGCAGGTGCCAGCCCCGGCGCCGACCGCTGGCTGACCCTGCGCGCCCTCTCCCACCCGCTCCCCATCCCCATCCCCGTCCGCATCCCCGTCCCCTCCCTCCCCCGCCTCCCGCGCTCCGGCCGGCGTCTCCGCCCTCCCGCGCCGGGGTCGCCGCAGTCCCCGCTGCCCCCGGCTCCCTCCTCGGGCGCCCCGGCCTCACTCCCGCCTCGGAGCGCTTCGGGGGGGCCGCGGGGGGCCGAGGTGGGGGCCCCGGGCACCTCAGCCCTCCGGACCCGCAGGCGGCCCCGACTCCGGAGCCGGAGCGCAGGGGAAGGCGAGGACCGACCGGGCGGCCGGCGGAGGGGCGGGCGCCGCTCATCAGCCACGCCAGGCACGTCTGGGCCGCCCGGCCGCCTTTTCCTCCTCTCCCCCTCTGCTTCCCCCCTCTCCCCTCGGCGAGGGCAGAGTGGCCGCGGCGGCGCCATGCCCGGGCCGGAGTGAGTGGCGCGGGCGAAGATGGCGTACATCCAGGTAGGGCTGAGCTGGGGGCCGGGGCCGCGGGGTGGGTGGGTGGGAGGGGAGGCCGGGCCCCCTCCGGCCGGGAGCGCGCGGGAGGGAGGGAGGGCCGGCGGCTGCGCTCCCGCAAACTTGCCCGGGGAAAAGGGGTGTCCGAGCGCAGCAACCTGTGCGCCCCGGGAGCAGAGGCTGGGCACCCCCACACCCCCTAACACAGGGCCCCGTGCGGACTCTGCACGCGCGCCTTCGCCTCCTGGGGAAGGAAGGGGGGCGGTGGTGAGGCAGACTTTTCTTCCCGCGCCCCCCTCCCCCTCCCTGGGCACCCCACCCCAGGGAGGGGCCGCGGCGGGCGGCCCAGGGCACCCCGCCACCCGGCCCGCCAGCTGTGGTTGCCGTGGTGACGGCCGGCTAATTGGCAGGCGGAGTGCGCCGGAGGCAGCTGTTCTGGCCGAGAGGGACAAGGACGTGGTCTCTCCCGGGCGCTGGGTGCCAGGGGTGGGGGACACACCGGGGGCGAGCTGGTGCTGGTGCTGGTGGTGGTGATGGAGGTGCTGCTGGTGGGGCAGCCGATTCCTTAGGCCATTGTCTTGGGGCTGGGAGTTGTCCCGTGTCATTTTGGGGGAACTCCCCTAAGAATTCTCGCCGAAATAATTTCCAAGCGTGATTTTTTTGGAGGGGGATGGAAAGTGGGGGTGAACTGCTTGACTAAGAGACCTTTCTCCTTAATACAAGGCTGGAAGCGGAGACAGGTCAGCGCCAAGGTCATGCAGTCAGACCCTTTGCTTGCTTCTGGGACTGGCTCCTCTGAGCCGGGCAGAGAAGCCCACAGGCTCCCACATCCAGGGTGCATCTGGGCTTCCTTCTCATCTCCTCCGCCACAGATGGGGGGCTGCTGGTCCCTGAGTTTCTCCTCTGGCTCACACATGCCCTCAGTTTGTCCTTAGACATGTCATTTGACCTGGAACTCTGTTCTGTCATCTGGCTAGCTACCCTCCTCGTCTCTCTCCTGGTTCAGGTGAGCTCCATTGGCTCCCCTTTCATGAAATCCCTAGGTCATCTTTTCAAGTTCATTGTAGGTCACGCCTACACCCACTGTGTGCTGGATGTTGTTAGGAGGACTATTCAATAGTTGCTCAACAAACAGTTGGGTGACCGCCTATTATGTGTGTGCACTGGAGCACAGCTGTGAATGCAGCATGGTCCCTGCCTCTCAGAATGCAAATCTAGGGAGACATGAAGAACATCTGAACAGGCTTCTACGTTCTTAGTGGCCACCTTCAGCACCGAGGCGACACAGCTGCTTCGGGGGTCATGGTGAGGTCTAAACGTGGGGATGGATCAGTGAGGATGGCCTGGTGACGCTGGCTTAACTTCCAGAAGGAGTTGTTAAACTTTTTCTGTAAAGGGCCACATAGTAAATATTTGTTTCTTTGAAGGCTGCAAGGTCTGTGTCTCAACTATTCTGCTCTGAAATGTGGTGCTGAATGGCAATAGACAATAGTCCGTGAATGGGCGTGGCTGTGTTCCAATAAAACTTTATTTGTGAACACTGACATTTGAATTTCATATATTTTGCATGAGTCAAGGAGTATTAATCTCCTTCTGACTTTTTTTTTTCTCCCCAAACATTTGAAAGTGTACAAACCGTTCTTAGCTGAAGTGCCACACGGAAATAGACTGGCTGCAGGCTGGATTTCTCACCCCTGTTATAGAATGTCTGCCTTTCCTTTCATCCTGTTTCTTTCTGGCTTGAATCAGTTCTCCTTCATTGGATCAAACACGTGAACCCAGGAGACCCAGGGTGAGGAAAGGCTCACAAAGCATGCTGATCGCATCAGAGCACCTTCTCTTTCCTCCTTCTTCATCTTCCTTGGTTTTGCTTTGCTCCCTGACACCTTGCACCTGGGACTTGAGAAGGCTGGATGGTTGTTCCTCAGCAGAGACCCTGGGGTGGCCTTATCTCTGCTCATCACGGTTTTATTATAAAGGACTCTCTGAACACCAGGTACCGAGGAAAGGCTTCCCCCAATGAAGATAATGGGCATGGATTGTGAAAAAGCAGCCCTTTGTCCTTGTACTTCGTTGGAAGCTTTTTAAAGCACTTGCTCTTGTAAGCCCAGCAAGGACATCGCTTTTTGCTGATTTGCTCACCAAGGTAGTCAGTTCCTGGTGCCCGGCTGGTTCCAGCTGGTCTTGAGAAGCCACCCTGTTCTCATGAACCACAGAGAGGGGGCAGGTACATTGCAGCTGGGCCACACACAAGCATTTTCACAGCGTCCTAGGTTAGTCTTCCCACAGAGGAAAGAGGTCACTGAGGCTCAGAGTGGCCCCTTCACTTGCCCAAGTCACATGATTGGCGAGTGGGAAGGACAGGACTAGCACTTCTCTATTCGGCTCTTTGCGTGCCCACGTTCCCCCCCCTCCGCCCCTCATGTACTCCCCCACCCCCCCATCCCCTCCCGCCCGCCGCCACCCAGCAGGTCTTGTTCTGGTTTGAGCTTTGCTTTTGGAAGAGTTTGTGATTAGTGCCCAGACTTTGTTTTCCAAGCTGCAGCCATAGCCTTACCACTTCAAGGATTTTGAATTGTTCACGAGCTATGTACCACCTGTACCGTTATTTACTTAATATTTTTTTTCTATAATGGATTCACACTTTCTTTAGTTTAAAAACTCGTATGAAAGGGAAACTTTATGTCAAAACCATAATAGAAAACCAGGATGACTTGATATAAGCAGAAGGCAATTGGACCAAAGAAACACGATTAGAATAATGCCACATTCTTAGATGCTGGCTGGCAAGGGCTCCCTGCCAGGCTCTGAGAGGGGGTGGGGGGTGGAGGCTTCTATCTGTTGAAAAAGGAAGGGGTGGGGAAGATTTGCACGTGTTAGGAAGATGTTATTGAATCTTTCTCCTCCTTGCAAGAGAATTGAAAAGAATAATAATAACTTTCTCCCTCTTGGTTCCAAGTTCTGAGTTCGAGTCTTGCCTCAGTTCACCTCTGGGACACGTCCCAGGCAGGCTAGGATATGGGACTCCTCCTAACCTACCTTCTTTTCTTGGCCACATAGTAAATTTTGGAAACCCATCAAGAGGGAGGGAGCTTGTGTCTTAGGAACCTGTGAGAAGAAGATGGGATGTGGCGGGGGTGCGGGGGGAGGGAAGGGGGGTTGGGGGGGCGCGGCACAGGAGGGGGGCAGCCGGTCCCTCCTCCAAGGACCAGATTCTGGCGTCCTTTTTGGCTCCCTCTATTTGTGGGTGGTCTTACGAAGCTTCCCACCATCTCCATTGGAGCAGAATGAGAAGGTAGGGCCTCCAGGAGGGCTGGGGAGCCGAGTCACAGCCACTCAGCGCCTGCCTGCATGTGGGCAAATCATGTCTTTTGGGGTTGGCTTCGCGGTTATTTCTGTATAGGAAGGTTTGCTCTTCTGAAGTGTGGCTGCATTGGCTAGCATGACTATCTATCCACCCGCACTGATTCATAACAGCATATGGTGCAAATCAGACCGAAATGCTGAAGTTTCCCATTTATTATTCGGTGTTGGCTAGCCAGGAGGCTACCCGCAGCCCTGAAGATAGCAACACCTAGGTAGGAAGTCAGCTTCCTTCCCAGGATGGTAAGTGGAAAGATCCAGGGCTTTTTCTTTCTCTTTTCTGAGTTGCTGAAATATTGCTAAACTGGTCTTGTCTCTCTCTCTCTCTCTTTTTGTCGCCCCCACCCCCTCCACCCCGTGGCTTCGTCTTGGATCTCTAAAAGGGCAGTTGGAACCTTTGAACGAGGTGGGTTAATTCAATGATTCGCTTGGTCTGGCTTCTCATCAGGAAACGCTTGCTTTTCGTTTTGGAGTCTTCTGTGAGGCTGTGGGGAATATTGAATATTAAACAGTCACCGGATGTCGATAAGGGCACTGTTTCCATGCCTCTCTGTGGCAGGGAGATCCCAGTGAACAGACACGAGATGACAAGATAGGTCTCCCTCCCCCTCCCCCCCCCTACTTATTCCATTTGATTATCTCTGTTTGCTTTCATGTCACTGAGATTATCTTTTCTAAAAAGACCATTTTTTGCTCTGCTCTCAAAATGACAGACTAATATTCATTGTGTCTCGGAACATATTGTGTAACCCTCACCACGGTGGGTAGGCCGCCCACACATCAAGGAAGACATTCCCATAAACTACAAAAGAAACTACCTGCAAATGTCTCGCCGGCTATTAATGGCTCCAGCGAGGTGGTGTTTGCCATCTTTGCGCCTGCGATTGGTAAACAGAAACGGAAAACATTTTGTTCCAAGTGTTGACAGACCTCCTGCATGTCGTTATGTCTCACCAGGGATGGGCTGCTTGTAATTCGGGTGTTTTTCCTCTTCCTCCTTTCCACCCTTTCCCGCGCCTCCTCTCACCCCCTCCCCGCCCCCCTCTCCCAATGGCCTCAGGGTTTTCTTTCTAGAATCTCTGATCTGCTGCTGTGCAGATGGACCTGCCGGCACTGCTGTCAGAAGTGTTACGAGTCCAGCTGTTGCCAGTCGAGTGAGGATGAAGTTGAAATTCTGGGACCTTTTCCTGCCCAGACTCCTCCCTGGCTGTAAGTAACACTGCTCCCAACTCCCTTGAAAGCAATCTCAAGATCTCTTTTCATCCTGTCTCTGAGAGTGGGTGGGGCCAGGGGAAGGAGGATTTGAGGGATGAAAGCAGGGAAGAAAGGCAGGGTGCCCACTGACCTCTTCGCTCTCATTTTTTTTTTTTTTTTGGCAAGCTGGTGAGACCAGCTGGTGGTGGGACTTCTGTTCAGCTAGTTTCACATCTTCTGAGATGTGAACTGTGTAATGCTAAACACGTGGGCACTTTTAATCACGTTGGGTGTCATTCCAAGCGGAAAAAAGGTCTGTGAGCATCGATGGCCTTCAAGGCATGTTGGTTCTAACGGTGTCCGTCCAAGTCAGTGCTTGGCAATTGGCCAGGCATCTGACCCAGGGCCTTGGCACATGGTAGATGCTTATAAATGTCTGTTGCCTGGTGGGATAGATGGCATGAACAAACAAGTGTATCTTCGCTAATCTGACCGAGAGCTTCAGAAATAGGGAAGCCGAAAAGCACCTCCGAGCTTCATCCTGTCCTCCAACGCTGTTTATGTTCTCCCTGGCGTCTTTCATTTTATTTCCAATTCGTTCTCCTCCCGCGCCTGCATGCAACATCTCCATCTGCCAGTCCCTCAGATATTTTGGGAACGCAGTTTTGAAGCTTTTGAGCCACGTGGCTGGTCCATCTCTCTGTGGCTGGGAGAGGGACGTGGCCAGAGAGTCTGGGTTGAGTCTAGAGGGTCTGGGAATCATCGAATACAACTTCTTATGATACAGACGGGGAGGCCCAGAGAGGAGAGAGACAGTGCAGGTGCCCACAGTTGGAGCCTCTGTGGGGAGCCAGTGCTATCTCAGCTAAATCCTTGGACTGAAGTTACAGAAGCTTCTGGTGCCCCAGCTTTCCCTCCATACTGGGGGGAGGGCAGGGGGCAGGGTGTGTGATGGGTCATGCCTCAGTTCTTCCTCTCATTTTCTGTTTTTAGAGGCAAGTATTGCATATTTCCATAACCAAGTGATTCTATGTCAGGCTCTGTGAGTTAATATCCTATTTTTTCTACTTTTTCCTAGTTCTGTGACCTTGAGCAAATTGCTTGATCTCTCTCTCTCTGCCTTGATTTCCCCATCTGTAAAATGGGGATGATAAAAATAATAGTACCTATATCATAGGGTTGTTGTGGTGATTGCATGAATTAGTGTATGGAAAAGGACTTAAAAACACTTGACCCCTGGTTGGCAATCCTAGATGAGAGTCTTTTTTACCCTGTTTTTGTCTCAGTTTTCTCATCTGTAAAGTGTGAACAGTAATATGACTTATTTTATACTAGAGGCCCAATGCACGAATTTGTGCACAGGTGGGTCCCTTGGCCTGGCTCATGATAGAGGCCTATTGGAGGGGACGGGAGAGAGGGGGCGGGTGGGGAGAGAGACCGGGAGCGATCAAGAGAAGTTGGCCGGATGGAAGGAGGGGCAGTGGAAGGTTGGCTATGGGAGTGCACTGACCACCAGAGGGCAGCTCCTGCATTGAGTGTCTGACCCCTGGTGGTCAGTGTGTGCCATAGGGACTGGTCATTCTGGTTGTTCAGTTGTAATGGTCGCTTATGCATTTACATATATATTGATGGCTGTTATTCAGAGTAATGAGATATGCACATACTATGCTTATCACGTAGTAAGTATTCATTTCTATCGTTATTTTGATAGGGATTCTTTAAACTGATTTAAAGGCGATGTTAAGGCACTCTTCCATTATTCATAGGTAGTGACCTGAATCCCGCAGATGTGTGTAGAGTTGGAATGTTTGGTGAAATCAACTCATTGATCAGGAGCTCAGTCCCATTTTCCAGTGCCTGTGTGACAGAGATTGGCTTAACCCTATGGACGGCAAACTGTGGCTTTCAAGCCACATGTGGCTCTTTGGCCTCTTGAGTGTGGCTCTTCCACAAAATACCACAGCCTGGGCAAGTCTGTGAAGAAGAGGCATTAGAAGAAGTTTAAGTTTAAAAAAATTTGGCCAGGACCGGTTTGGCTCAGTGGATAGAGCTTCGGCCTGCGGACTGGGGGGTCCCGGGTTCGATTCCGGTCAAGGGCATGTATTATACCTTGGTTGCAGGCACGTCCCCAGTAGGGGGTGTGCAAGAGGCGGCTGATCGATGATTCTCTCTCATCGATGTTTCTAACTCTCTGTCCCTCTCAATTCCTCTCTGTGTAAAATCAATAAAATATATATTAAAAAAAAATTTGGCTCTCAAATTTCAGTCGTTGTTCTGTTGATATTTGGCTCTTTTGACTGGCTTAGCCCATCTGGTATCTTTTCTTTAAAGAATGCCAGCTCTGTGAGGGCAGGGTTTCTATCTGTCTAACTCAAAAAAAATAGTTGTTGACCAACTGACTAACGTACAGGCAGAAATTGAATCCTGAAAGCATCAGCCATCCAATTGAGCCCAGCCGATGGCTCAGTGGTTGAATGTCGACCCGTGAACTAATAGGTCGCTGGTTCTATTCCTGGTCAGGCACATGCCCTGGTGTGCAGGAGGCAGCCGACCGATGTTTCTATCTCTCTATCCCTCTATTTTCCTCTTTAAAAAAAAAATGTTAATCTCCATTTCTTTGGTAATTATTTCTTGAGTATACCCTGCAGACACTCTATAGAGTCCTATTACTGTACTCAGGGGATTTAAAATCTAGTATAGGGACCCCAGTTGGGTGGCTTAGTTGGTTGGAGCGTTGTGCTGTTCACTGAAAGGTTGTGGGTTCAATTCTCAGTCAGGGCACCATGCCTAGGTTTTGGGTTCGATCCCCTGTTGGTGTGAGTACGGGAGACAACCAATTGATATTTCTCTCTATCTCCTTTCCTGTCTCTAGAAAATCAATTTAAAAAAAACATATCCTAGGGTGAAGATTAAAACAAAAACAACTGGTATAGGAGATGAGGCAAGTACATAAGTATGCATTCACACCCTGCCCACCCTGCATAGAGTTGTCAATGGAAAAATCCAGGAAGAATGGCTTCATTCAGGCATAGCTGGATCCAGAGGCTTAAAAAAAGGGTGTGCATGTGTGTGCTCTCTTTGTCTTTGTTTCGTTTGTATTGGCCTCATTCTTAAGCTTGCCTCTTCTTTGCCCCATTCTTAACAGCAGCAAAGCACCAGGAAGGGCTGTCTTTGCCCTGGTTTGGTGTAAATGTGCCCAATCACTTTTGCTTGGAGGAGATGGTGCTGGGGTCATCCCTGGGTTGCCATCCTGGACCCAGGGGCATTCCACTTGAAACACTTGAACTAAGCTAGTAGAGGAGGGTTGGCACACTTTTCCTGTAAAGGGCCCGATAGTAAACATTTCAGCCTCATGGGCTTATTCTGTGTTGTAACTAGTCAACTCTGTCATTGCCGTGCGGAAGCAACCAGACTCAGTACATTAATGAATGGCATGGCTGTGTTCCAGCAACACTTCGTTTACAAAATCAGGCTGTGGATTTGGCCCTGTGGTTCGCTGACCTTTGTCATAGACAGTTTGGATGCTGTGACTGGACCCAGGGCAGGCAAACACGAGACATGGACTCTATCTCTTGGAAGAGTTGTGAGGATTGTAAGAAAATGAGCCTGCAAACTCTGATGGTGCAGGGTCATGAATGCCAGATGAAGGAATTTGGATTTTCTTTTGAACCAGTAGAGAACCTGATAGACATTGAAAATCACAATCTGTTAGCCCCCAGATACCCGGCTGGAGCGTGACAGATGTCCTGCCTCTGAGTTGGATGACAGTTGCGCTTTGACCAGGCTACTGGCCCTCTGGGCATGCCGAGGATTCTTTTGGGGGTAGGGGGTGGGATCCCCTGGGAAGACAGTTCTTTTGGTTTTGCCGCCAGCAGGGAAGTGGGCTGGGAACTTCCCATAAGAGCCAGCACACCACAGCTTCTGAACGCTCCGCTCACTGGTGGTTATTATGAATGGCACCACATAGAGTCCTGCAGCCTGCAGCCCGGACACTGTACGTGACCTCCAAGCTTCCCGGGATGAACCAGGTCTTCCTGGAGTCCTGGCATCACTGAGTGCACTTTTGGCGCCAACACAGGGCAAAACGTTAAGAGAAATGTAGAAAGGGGAAGCGGGTTCAGTCATTCAGAGGGCGAGTTTACAGCTTGTGCTTTCCACAGCTTTATTTACCAAGTAGGCCGTTGCATGTTATCAAACAGGCAGGGAATAGAAATGTCAAGTGCACAGGCTTTGCGGTGCTGTTCCTGCTGTGATATTTGAGCCCAGAACCACAGGGCTGGCAGAGGAGCTGGCTCTGTGTGTGGGGGACACATCATTCACTGTCTCATGTGCTCCTGTCATGTGGGCCCCCCGCTTTCCTTGGCTGGGCTGGCCCAGTGAGGGTCAGGAAACTGTACCGTCCAGCTGGCTCCTTGGGGCAGTGCCAGAAAGACCCTCCTTGAAGAGTGAATTAAAGTCAGGTTATTTGTTGAGTACCTACTGTGTTGAGTACCTACTGTGTATGTGTTGAGTACCTATTCCAGAGGCCTTGCAAGGGGTGCCCAGCTCAGAAGTGTGACCCCGAGCCTGGCATTGCATGACTCAGTTGAGCTTCTACCATTTAACAGTGATGCCAATTACTTATGCATCCCTCTCCCTACCCTACCCTGATGCCTACCTTTCCTCACCTGTAAAAGGGGCATGGTTATTAATAACAACTAACTCCCAGGTTTTTTTAAGGGTGAAATCAGATGGTTCATACAGAGCATTTAGCCCAGGGCCCAGCACATGGTGGGCATTCAGCACCTGGTACCTTTGAGCATAGTAGGTACATGTCTCACCACTAAGCAGTGTGTCCTGTTACAGGAGGGTTGACAAGACATGGACTCGGATCATTGGGACACAAGATAAATGGGATAAGAACCACAGGAAGGGTGTATTCACTCACTCGCTGAGAAAATAAATGTGGAACACCCCAGATGCGCCAGGTTGTAAGGCATGGTTGGCAGTGGTGACAGGTTAAGACAGATACTATCGCTGCCCATATGGAGCTGAAGCTTGGTGTCAGATGCAGAGGAGAAACAAGCACGCAAGCCACAACCAAAGATAAATGATGTGCAATGTCAAAGAGACAAAAGCAGGTGCAGGGGTAAGGGTTGAAAGGGGTGGGAAGAGGAGACGGGGACAGGACGGGGCCTCTCTGAGGAGATGCTGTCGAAGCTGAGACCTGAGTGAAGATAAGGAGCCAAACAGATGATGGGGCCTGGAAGAGCATTGGGGGCAGAGGGAACAGTTGGCACTGGGTGTGGGAGGAAGGCAGGGAGGCCTGGCGGTTGCAGAGGAGGCAGGAGTGGCTCAGCATACACTGGTACTGTGTCAGAGGACTCAGCCGAGGCCCTGAGAGGCTGAGTCCTGGGAGGCTGGACGGGACTTCACAGGTGGAGTGACCGCCGCAGAGGTGTGGCCACGGGGACACAGGCTGTGCAGGTGGAGGTGCCCCAGTGACTCCTTCTGTGGGAGATGCTGCAGCTTTCATTTAAGGGAGAGCAAGAAGAATGATGGGTACAGTGTGACCCATCTCTGTGACCTCCCCTGCTCTGCACCCCCCACATTTCATCTGCTATCTTCTCCTAGAGACCAGGAGCCGGGGCAGGCGAGGCCAGTGCACGTCCCGGCCTTATCACAGCCCCGGCCTTGTCCTCGCCGTGACCCTTATATCACTTTGGAAGAACATCAGATCCATCTCATTTCATGCACAGGATGCATCGGAAGACCTTGGAGAATTGGAAACTTGCATCTTTCAGGACTAGTTTCCCTGCAGGCTTAAATGTCAAGCTGGGGGATGCGGGCTTAAACATATCAATCCGCAGCTGGGAGCTTGGGGCGTGTTATTAGCAGCATCCATCTCGCGGCCACTTTGCCAGCTTTTGTCCCCCCCATTTCCCTTCCCGCAGCATCCTAACCTCGCAGCCTTGTGAATATTGGGGGGATCTTAAAGACACCAGTAATACTAGCTGAAATGGACTGAGCATCTTCCTGCAGCATGCCAAGCACTGTTCTAGACATTTTTTGTGTGTGAATGCGCTCAGTGTTGACAGCAGCCAGGCAAGGTGGGCACCGTTATTCTCGTTTTACGGATAGGGAGATGGAGACACAGAGAGAGGAGGGGACTCGCCCAAAGTCACCCAGCCAGGGTTCAAACCGAGAGGTCCTGCTCTTTAATTACTACTCTGTATTGCCCCACCCTCCGACCCAAGGCTCTTCATCATTCCATTGGGAGCGCGTTGAGTCCCACCTGCTACTAATTCATAGCTGTTTCTTTACATCAAACTGTTGTTCTTCAGTCACTGATTCTCAGGGCTGTTTTGTAGCCATAGCCCTACCCCTCAAAGAACCCTTGAGTGACATGGTTATGGGTGTTTTTTATTTATTTTTTTATTAAATATATTTTTATTGATTTTTTACAGAGAGGAAGGGAGAGAGAAAGAGTTAGAAACATCAATGAGAGAGAATCATCGATCAGCTGCCAACCAAGGTACATGCCCTTGACCGGAATCGAACCTGGGACCTTTCAGTCCGCAGACTGAAGCTCTACCACTGAGCCAAACCAGCTTCGGCCGGGTGTTTTTAAAAGATGTTAAACTGTAGGCCGAGGGGCTGTTGGAAAAGCAGAGTGTTTCTCACCAAGAGCCACCTGCAAAAGTTGGGGTGCACACGGACAGCCACACGGTTCCTTCCTGACTGAAGATTGACAGGTCTCGTGACCAGTCACAGTGGGGCCGCATCCCGAGTAAGTTCCCCTATCTCTCCCTTCGGCCCCAGCTTTGACTGATGGCTCTAAATTGGGGAAATATGCATTCATATCATTTCACATTTTGTGCAGAAAGCAAGACGTTACTGAGAGTTTAGGGCCACCACGCTATTTCAAATTTGCATTATCCCCAGCTGCATAAACGGCAGGAGAGCTGTCTCCTGGTGGTCTGCTCTCCAAGGGCAGAGATGCCTGTCCTGGGGATTCTCTGACGACCATCGAGACCTCTCCCCTCCCACAGGATGGCCAGCAGGAGCAGCGACAAGGACGGGGGCTCCGTCCACACAGCCAGTGACGTCCCGCTGGCCCCGCGCACCAACTCCCCAGATCGAAGATGCTCGTCCTCAGACACGTCCAAGTCTACATACAGCCTGACCCGGAGGATTTCAAGTAAGCGTCTGCCGCGGCAGAGCGTCCGGCCCGGGCAGTCTTGTGCCGCTCACCTCCCTTCCGAGTCCATGAACGAATCCCAGCAGCTGGGTCCCAGGACAGAGGAGGGGGCTGGCTTTCCCACACACTCAGCAGCAGCCCCAGGGAAAGATGTGCAGGACACGGGGGACCCTGGGGAGGGGCAGAGTGGGGTGATGGGAGACAGGATGAGGTAGCGATAATGACAACGTGACAGAAGTGCATTGCCGTGATCATTTTGACTGATTTTTGTTTTTGCTGATGGCTTTTCATCGAATTGGCTCCGCTGATTGACATTGTCAACATATGTCATTTCAGCCCCCAAAGGCAAGTGTCGCCATGTTACACTGCAGGGCTTGCATATTCTAGCGACTCCAGGGTCCAGGAGGGTTGTGTCAGCAACTGAGTGAAGAGGGTTGGATGGAGATAAATATCACCCTAATGCAATGACACATCTCCCGACTCTCAGCCTTGGGAGGTGCGAGGGCAGGCCGGGGACTGTGGCCAGTTGGGAAGCTGATGCCCTGCTGCAAAGGGCAGCTGCTACTCGGCTGTGGCTATGGGGGATGGTGGGCCCACTATTGCCGGATTTGTAAAAAAAGAGGAACTGGCAACCTGGGTCTTCATATGAAACGTTCTTACTTTTAAACCCAAATAAAATGTGTCTGTGGGTTGAATCTGTCTCGCAGGCCACCAGCTTTCCCCCTCTGATGTATAACGTATGTGTTTGGCCATCTGGCGTGATTTGAGTGGGGAGGAGGAAGGAGGGAAAAGCCTAGGGACTCCCTGAATAGAACCGTTGAAGAAGTATGATATACGTTGAGGTAAGCGTCATTGGCTCCGATGGGGAAACTGAGTCCCAGAGAGTCTAAAAAGTGTGCCGGAGTCACACGGCTCATTCGCCGTGAGTCATATGGTTCACTAAGTAAGCAGTGGAGGTGGAACTTGACCCAGATGCTCCAGCCCCAAAGCCCACTCTGAAAGTGGAGGGAGTGTAGGGTAATGGTTAGACTTGAGCCAGGTCTCTGGGGCCACCCAGGCCAGGCAGGACCCCGGCTCCTCCTCTTACTAGTTGTGTGACCTTTGGTGAGTAGAGTACTCCAGGGTTCCGTTTGCTCGTCTGTGAAATGGCCGGGGGCGGTGGGCATAGTCCTTAGCGAATACCTCGTGGAGGTTGGATGACCCGCTACATGCAGAGCGTTTAGAACAGGACCTGGTGCTTCCTGCGGGGATTATGGCGACGGGGCCCATGCTGCCTCTCAGAATGAAAGAGAGGCTTTCGGGTGTGGAGGGCAGAGGGTGAAGGGCGTTAGGAAGCAGCGTGGACGATGTGAGAAGCTGGGAAACGTTGCCCACCTCAGTGATGGTGTTCATTGTCATTTCTGGCGGCTGTTTAGGTCTGGAGTCCAGGCGGCCCAGCTCCCCGCTCATCGACATTAAACCCATCGAGTTTGGCGTCTTCAGCGCCAAGAAGGAGCCCGTCCAGCCCTCGGTGCTCCGGCGGACCTACACCCCCGACGACTACTTCAGGAAGTTCGAGCCGCACCTATACTCCCTCGACTCCAACAGCGACGACGTGGACTTCCTGACGGACGAGGAGATCCTGTCCAAGTACCAGCTGGGCATGCTGCACTTCAGCACCCAGTACGACCTGCTGCACAACCACCTGACGGTGCGCGTCATCGAGGCGCGGGACCTGCCGCCACCCATGGCCCAGGACGGCGCGCGCCAGGACATGGCCCACTCCAACCCCTACGTCAAGGTCTGCCTGCTGCCCGACCAGAAGAACTCCAAGCAGACCGGGGTCAAGCGCAAGACCCAGAGGCCCGTGTTCGAGGAGCGCTACACCTTTGAGATCCCCTTCCTGGAGGCGCAGAGGAGGACGCTGCTGCTCACCGTGCTGGACTTCGACAAGTTCTCCCGCCACTGCGTCATCGGGAAGGTGTCCGTGCCCCTGTGCGAGGTGGACCTGGTCAAAGGCGGGCACTGGTGGAAGGCGCTGATCCCCAGCTCCCAGGTGAGGAGGTGGGGGTGATGGTGGGGTGCCGTGTCTTCTCCTGGGAGTTTGTGGTTTATTTTTTATGAGGACTGTTATTTTAAAAAATTGTTTTGTACCACAAAACATTCTATTTTGAAATAATTCTCTACTTACAAGAAATTGCAAAGACCGAACAGCAATTTCTTGTTAACAGTTCCCATGCACCCTTCCCCCGGCAGCCCCCATGATAAATCTCACACGACCAGAGTAGAGGACGTTAGCACTGGCAAGTAATGGTGGCAGCTAAACTGCAGGCCTTACTCAGTTTGCACCCGTTTTTACATGCACTGCTGTGTGTGTGTGTGTGTGTGTAGGTCTATGAAATTGTGTCACATGTATAGGTTCATGTAACCACCACCACCCTGGGACTCTCTAGTCATGGAGATGGGTTATTTAATGAGAGTGATTATCCTGGGTAGGAAGCTATCAGTCATTCTGACTTTCTGAAATTGATTTGGGAAGAATAAAATGAGGGCTGAAGAACAGGATGATAGATGGATGTTTTACAGGCAAATTGTGAGATCCCAGCCCAGGAACGTGCAATTGGCTGTTTCAGAAGCCACTCATGGACCAGGCTCTGTGCCCAGTGGTGGTTAGAGTCCCCCACCCCGCCCCCTTTGGGCACTCTGTGGGCTGAAGGATGACAGTGCACCCGCTGGGGGTGCAGCATGTGGTGGGAGCCCCTGGAGGCCGGCCAGCCCACCTGTGCTGTAGAGAGCAGGCCGGTACAACAGGCGGGTTATTTTGCATCAAACACACCAACGCGCTTCTCAAAGCTGAGCTCTCCTGGCCAGCTCTCCTACCACATGTATAGGGCACACATGTTAAACACGAAGACTGGAGGGGCTGCCCCACTGCCAGAGTGTCCCTGTCTGTGCACATCCTCAAAGGTAGGAGCTTTGTTCATCTCTTAGTTTGGATTCCTCAAGAAGAAGACTCTGAGGCAAGGGTGTGGCACTGGAGGGAACACAAGGAAAAACTGGAGAGGTCACATAAGGGTGCATTTGGGGGCTGGTACCACTGTGGGTGACTAGAATGGAAACTTGCTGGGAAAAATGGGAGCCAGCATCGGACATGCCTGAGGGTCTTTCTACCTGACTGGCAAGGGAGCTAACGATTTTATACACTAACTATTATCAGCTACTAGAGGCCCGGTGCATGAAATTCGTGCACCAGTGGGGGGGGGGGGTGATGGTGGTCTCCCTTAGCCCAGCCTGTACCCTCTCCAATCTGGGACCCTCAAGGGATGTCCTGTTTAGTCTGACATCCCTCTCACAATCCAGGACTGCTGGCTCCCAACTGCTCGCCTACCTGCCTTCCTGATTGCCCCTAATCACTTCTGCCTGCTAGCCTGATCACCCCTTAACCACTCCCATGCCAGCCTGATTGATGTCTAACTGCTGCCCTGCCAGCCTCTTTGCCCCCAACTTCCTTCCTCTACTGGCCTGGTCACCCCTAACTGCTCTCCCTTGCAGGCCTGGTGCCTCCCAACTGCCCTCCCCTGCTGGCCATCTTGTAGTGGCCATCTTGTGTCCACATGGGGGCAGGATCTTTGACCACATGGGAGCAGCTATCTTGGTCTTGTGGGTTGGAGTGATGGTCAATCTGCATATTATTCTTTTATTAGATAGGATAAAGGCCTGGTGCATGGGTCACGGCCAGCTGGTTCACTCTGAAGGGTGTTCCGGATCAGGGTGGGGGTTCCTTTGGGACATGGGGCAGCCTGGGTGAGGGGCCTGTGGTGGTATGCAGGCCAGCCACACACCCCCAGCGACCCAAGTGGAGGCCCTGGTATCTGGAATTTATTTATCTTTTACAATTGAAACTTTGTAGCCTGGAGCAGAGCCAGGCCTCCTCCTTACTCCCTGGCTGCAGCCATTTCTGTTTGGATATGTTTACCTTCCATAATTGAAACTTTGTAGCCTTGAGTGGAGGCTTAGGCCGGCCAAGGTAGGTGGAAAGCTTGGCTTCCTCCATTGCTGTGGGCAACCCTAGCCTATTTTCTCCAGCTCCGTGGCTGCCTGGCTGCCGCTGTTTTTCTTGGGATTTATCTTCTATAATTGAAACTTTGTATCCTTGAGTGGAGGCCTAAGCCGGCCAGGGAGTGTGGAAAGCTTGGCTTCCTCTCTTGCCAGGGAAACCCAAGCCTCTCAACTGCTCTCTGTGGCTGCAGCCATCTTGGTTGGGGTTAATTTGCATACTCGCTCTGATTGGCTGATGGGCGTGGCTGGTGGGCATGGCTTGTGGGATCCCTTATCACATCCCCCGTGGTTCAGGGTTCTTCTTCAGGGTTCCCTGTTCTGGAGAAGGCTGCACACAAATGAAGAGAGACTGGAAAAGCGTTAATTTGGGAAAATGGGGGCCCTGGCAGGAGTCCACCTCCAGGGGGAGGACTACTCTTCTCTGGCCTTTTGCCATCCCTTTTATTGAGGTTCTGATATACACCCATATCTTTAGGCAGGAAATTCCAACAATAGAAAATCAGCAAGAATTTACATACGATTAACAGATGAAAACTGCTTCAACTACCAATGTCTCAACTAAACAATGAGTTAATAGCTTCGACCATTCAGAGAGATTAAGGTTGACCAGCCTTCCGGATTCCCTTTTCACATTTAACTACTAGTGACAGTGTTTGGTTTCCGGCAGTGGCTTGTAGGTGTAGCAGAGTGATGGTTAATTTGCATATTACTCTTTTATTAGGTAGGATTGGATGCGGGCTTTTGGGAGATGAGGTTTATTTCCTGGCATTTCTGATGAAGAGACCTTTGACATCCACAGATGCTGGCCCCTATGCACTGACCTGGTCATAGCCAAGAAATGGTGGGCAAGGTGTTGATAGTGTCTGCTACAATCCTAAATTCTCCATGTCACGTGATCCGAATATATTGGGTGCTTTCCATGTATCCTCCTCAGTATTTGATATCCCTGGGTTTTCAACTGTCAAGAAAGTTACTATTGAAAGAGGGAAATCCCCCTCCACAAAATAATTTCTTTATGGCCAGGCTCCATTGTTGGCATCTGTGGAAGTCCCCGAGATGCAGAGAATCTTGCCTCCTTTTGGCCTTGGCTGAAATATCACCTTCTCAGCAAAGCCCTCCTGGCATGTCTGCCCTCGTTTGGTTCTCCTGAATGCTGAGGTCGAGGCAACGACTGGGGTACAGGCATATTTAGGAGGTGATCCCAGGAAGAAGGAGTGAGGGGCGAGCAGGACGCAGGAAGGAGAGGACGTCAGTAGTCAGCGGCGGTTTTTGAAGTCTCCATCCTGTCTGCTGGCGCGGGGACACTGGCCCGGTGGCCCCCTCAGAAGTGCTGGGCAGAAGAGGGAGGGACCAGGTGTGCCGGTGCCGGTCGGAGCTGAGACCACATGGAGCAGGACTATGGGAGCATCTGTAGTGACACCAGAGGCGTATCCTCTGCATCACCCTGTTCATGTGGCTGCCTCCACTGTGGGTCCATTACCCTCCCCTTGCTTTATTTTTCTCCACGGCACTTAGCATCATCCCACAGAGCATGCGATTTAGGGCCCGTCTCCCGTGCTGGTAGGTAAACCCCACGAGGGCAGAGGTCGTGTCTGTTTTGTACCCCTGCGCTGAGAGCAGTGCCTGGCGTGTGGTGGTGCTCAGTGGGATTTGTGGGTGAGTGAAGGATGGAAGGGAGAAAGGATTCCCCAGAGAGAATTTCTTCTTTTCCTTCTCCCTTCTTCCCTCTTGCATCCCTTCACCTCCCTCTGTCCCTTCCTTCTTCCCTTTTCCTTTTTTTTTCTTCCTTCTTTTCTTGTCACACGAAGAAAGGCTCATGGGAACTCGGAGGGAAGAAGGACTCAGGCTTGCTCGGCCTTTATGCTCTTGAGAGCACAGGCCAGTGTCTGTGGCGGGGTTTCCCTGAAGCAGTGCCCGAGACAGGAGTTTGGGTGTGGATTAGCTTCCGAGGGCTGCTGGGACCAAGCTCCACACATTGGGTGGCTGAAAACTCAGAACCGTATCTTCTCACAGAAGATGAAGGTGCTGGCAGGGCTATGCTCCGGGAAACCTGCAGGGAATCCTTTCTGCCTCCCTCTGGCTTCCGGTGGTGGCTGGCTCTCCGTGTTTGCTGGCTTGAAGCTGCATCAGTCGGATCTTGCCTCCGTCATCACATGATGTTCTCTGTGCGTGTCTGTCTCTTCTCATAAGGACACCAGTCCTATTGGATTAGAGACCCTCCCTGCTTTGCTATGACCTCATCTTAAATAATAATCACATCTTCAGTGACTCTATTTCCAAATAAGGTCACACTCTGAGGCACTGGGGGGGGGTAAGATGTCAATGTATCTTTGGGCACGGGGTGGCGGTGGTGGGGGGAGCAGGGGAGTGCGAGGGGAGGGGGGGTGGAATTCCACCCTAAACAGGATGCAGGAGAAAACCCTGCAGGGAGGGAGTGAAGCCATCAAGGTGAAGGGTGACAGCGGGGAGGGGAGGGGAGTGAGGGGGGGGGCGCAACAGGGTGGCAGCATAGCATCAAGTGAGGCCTGGCCTACGCCTGATCTGTGCTGGGGAGGGGACTCTGGACGGTGAGCGCTGCAGTGTTGTTCTTCCATCAGACAAGCAAGTGAGCCTGGCTGCGAACCAGACCAGGAAATAGGATTTTCAGCCGGGCGGCCATGAGCCTACCTAAAGCTCCTGCACTGTAAACGGTGTTTCTGAACCAGGAGCGCGTCTGTGACTCGGGACACCTGGCAGTGTTGGGGGACAGTCTGGGTTGGTGGATGGAGGTGCTACTGACACCTGCTGGGTGGAGACCAGGGATGCTGCCACCCATCCTGCAATGCACGGGGCAGCCCCAGGCACAGGCACAGAATGACGGAGCAGAAATGCTCCCAGAGCTGAGACAGGGTGAGGAAGCCTGCTGGGGAAGAACGGGGGACAGAGGTTGGGGGAGCAGCAGCGGGATCCGCCCGGACGGGCACGCTGAGAGCAGGGCTGGTCCCTGAGGGCGCGGAG